AAAAGTGGTGGTTTTGTTCCCTCCCCAATTCTCATTTTAATTCCTAGTGATATGCAAACACTAGCATGTAGTGATTCTAGCTGATTTCTGCCTCTCCTGGGTCTCCTTATATGACCCAGAGTCCCTTGATTTCAATGTGTATCCTATCTGTCTGCATCCATTTCATGACTGCAAAAGTTGGTAGGCTTCTACCACCTACTAGACTTTCCAAAATTTTTATTTGTTTATTTATTTCAGCCTTTAACAGTTTCATGTATGTATATGATGAACTTTAGTCACTTTCACTCATTCCTCTCTGCCATCCCCCTCCCTCTCTGTTAAATCTTACTCTCCCAAGTATGTCCCACCTACTTTCCTATCTTTCTATGTCTGCGTGACCCATTACATTAATTAGAGGTGTTTGCATGAGTGTGAGTGGAAAGCTGTTTACTGGAACATGGAAAATGTATCCATGGCTATGTGACTGAAGAGAGTGACACCCCTTTCCCTAGCAACCATTAGCTGTCAGTAGACCCTCAGGAAGGCTTGGGACCTCTTGCATGATAAAATGGTGATGGGTATAATCTTGTGCAGGTTTTGTCTGGATAACAGCAGTTTTAGTGAGTTCAAGGGTACAACGGCCATGTCATGTCCAAAAGATATCCTTCTTGGCTCTCGTTCCCATTCTCCATGTATGTCCTCTTACAGATGTTCCTGTGGCTTGGCATTTTAGCCAGGTATGAGTCTCTAAACTTATTTTTGCTATGAGCCAAAATAAGAAGTCTCTGGGTAAGGCTGATAGTATTGCCAATCTATGGATATAAACATGTCTACTTAGAATACAGTTTGATCACGTGTCCATGTAGCAAAATTATAGTAGTGGGTTCCCAGTATGGCCTACAGTTTCTTGGCCATCAGCTGTTGACCAGGCATGAGTTCCTTCCTGAGGTAAGGCCTCTAATCCCATTAAAATAGTAGTTGGTTATCAACTATACATTCATGCCACAGTAGGCACATCTGTCCAAGACTGATCTTACTGTAGCTCAAAATGTCCACAGCTGGGTGATGACATTACTCCCCCAGTAGCCTGCATAGCACCATCCAGCACCATGAAAGCCAATGTCATAGTTGCCTTTCTATTGCTGTGAAAAGACACAATGACCAGTGCAACTTAAAGAGAAAGTACTTAATTGGACACTTGCTTATAGTTTTAGAAGGTTAGTCCATGATCATCAGGGCAAGAAGCATGGTGGTAGACAGGCAGGCATAGGACTGCACAGTAGTTGAAAGCATGCATGTTATTAGAAAAATAAGGCCTGGGGTAGGCTTCTGAAACCTCAAAGCCCAAACCCAGTGACAAACTTCTTCTAACAAAGCCATACCACCTAAGCCTTCCTTAATAGTTCACCAACCTGCAAGCAAAAGTTCAACTATGTAAGCCTCTGGGAGACACTCACATTCAAACCACCACATCCTGCTACCAGGAAGGGAGCTTCCAAATCACCTGCAACTTGACTTACCTTAAGTCAGTGCTCATGGTATGTGGCATCAGCAACAGGGTTTATTGTCAAGTTCTGGTGGACAACCAGGTCAACGGCAATAAGCTGAATTCTATTGGACATCAGTGACCCTTCCTTGACCAACAGCTCCTGGGGAAGATTCTCTGTCAGCACTAGTATTTTTGTAGCTACTGAAAGGAGCATTATCCCCTGCTGTGACCCTTTATCTTAGCTTTTTAAAAATTATATTTTAATTAACTTATAAAATAGGTCTCCATGTAATTTTTTTCACACTCTCCTAGCAGTGTTTATCCCTCCCTGCAAGCTCTCTCAAATACTCCCTCACTTTAAATTTCCTCCCTCTAGGATCCACTCCCCACCCTCCTTTCATGTTCTACTCCCTTCTTTCTTCCTTTAAACATGGTATCTGGTCATGAAAGGTACATAGTGAAATATTTACTCAGTGAAAATGAGAAGCACTTTATCTCTCAGTTAGTCTTGTTTTGAGATCTGTCTGATATCATTTCCAGCTTCACAGGTGAAAATATACACATGGTACCTGGCATCTGAGAGCCCTAGGAATCCTCCAACTGAAAAGAGAAGAAATCCTTTAAGTGTGTGTGTGTGTGTGTGTGTGTGTGTGTGTGTATTCTTCATTAGTGCACACAGAATATAAGGTCATTTAGAAGCAATGAATTAGTCAACTGTTCTCCAAATGTAGGATGTTTTAGGAACGTTCATGTTCATATTCAATAATAAGCTTCACGTACCATGTATGATGGTTGGTTGATATGAAATCCTGAATTCATGGTTCCAATCAATAAGAAAATGTAGAATTTTCTGTTTAAACTGTTGAAGGAAAAGGTGGATTGAATTCAGATCCTCAGACTTGGTGGCAGATGCCTGCACCTGCTGAGCTGTCTTACACCTGCTGAGCTGTCTTACTGACCCTGCTTTGAAATTAAGGTAAAGGATAGTCTCATGCCCAGCATTGTTCCCCTGGAATCCATTCTTGACCATGTTAGAGCTCTTGAGAGCTTTCTAAAATGCAGTCTGGACCCATTCAACAGCTTCTCGTTGCCCTTAGAATACAAAGCAAACCCTCTACCATGGATTTCAACACGCTGCAAGGTCTGAGGTCCCTGCTGAGTCCTTCACCTGCATCCATAATGCGATTTCTTCTCCTGATCCAACTCAGCTTCTCTCGGTCCCTCACCATGCCTATCTCTGACACAAGGAGTCCTATGAACTTGGTACGTTTCCCTGTTGTGTCTTCCTCATCTTATATGGCTAACTCCTTTTCCACTGCCTTCTCCATGGGCTACAGGCCAACCATGACCCCATTAGTTAGGAATTCCAATAACGTCTCTCAGAGCACTTCATTGTAATGATTGGTTCTCTGATTTCCCTGTAGCCTGAAAGTCTGCTGCAGTGAGGGAAGGGGAGAGCAGGAGTGTGCATGTAGGTTGTGGATTGTGTAGTTTAGATCTCAGATTTTACTCCTCAAATTGCTCATTGCCTGTGACTCAATTCCCTCATCTGTAAAATGGGGGGAAATAATACTGCCTAATGAGATGATACTTTTTAAAGATCCAAATGCATTGACTGGTGCACAGATCTTAATACACACTTCCTGAGCGGAAGCTTCTGTGTTTGCTCAGAGAGTGCCCCCACCCAAGCCTGAGTTCCATCCACAGTTAGCTGTAGAGTCAAAGTCGGCATTTTTATGTTAATTTAATAAAAGGTGCCCTCCAGCCAACAACTAGGCACAGCAACTCTTCCCTTGGTAGGCATGGATTCTGCATCTACCACAGTGCTGAGATCTTCTGTTTCCTAGTCAAGCCCTTCCCTTAGAGACCATTGGCTGGGAAGTCCAGTCCAGTAAGCCATGAACATGAGACCCATCTAATAAAGACAGCCCAATGGCATGCAAGCAAATTAAAACACAACTTGCTGTTGTGTCATGCAAAAACATCAGTAAACAACCTCCCCAAAGGTTTTAAAGAAATAGTTATCAGTATATTTCAATGGAAAAACTACCAAGTAGTATAGTATGTGGCGTTTTAAAGATCTTTGGAGTAGAGAAAAAAGGTGCTGGGGAGCTTTCCTGGCCTCGGGCTCCTTAAGTTTTAATGAGAACTCAGTGTATGAAAAATAAAATCAACAAACACACAGACTTTTGTGCGTCCCTATCACCTGAAACTTGCCAGGCTTTGGAAGAGTTATTGTCATTTTGATTCTTGTGTGAGTCACTGAGTTGCCTGCCCCCAGAGGCGCTTCATTATGATTCAGTGCAAAGGATTGAGCCGGCTGGGGCTTCCGGAGTGAGGAGTGAGTGTGTGTCTGGTGGGGGTTGCAGTGGCAACGCGTTGGCATGAGGCTTAATTGACACCTTTGATGTAGCCTAAGACAGAACCCGCACCTCCCACTGCCGCTGGGAAGACGTCAGCCTTACGCAGGAAAAGGCATCTGCTGATGAATCCTGCATCTCATTCAGCTCGCTCCCCGAGCAGCCTTAGCGGTCCCTAGCTAATCCAACTGCTTCCCAGTCTGAGGGTGCTGGGCTTGGTGCTGAGAAGAGGCTCTGGCTATTGGCTATTGTCAGGTCAAACACTAAGACTGTGTCCATGTTAGAACTCATAGAAGGTAAGTGGATTGCACTGCCGTCTCTCCCCCAGGGTACCTTCCAGAATGTATGCGTCTCTTGTCTGATTCTTCTCTCCCTGTGCATCTGCAAGGTTGCCACATTAGAGTGGCAGGCAGCCTTTGATATCTTTATACAGTCGTGTCTTCAGGGGGTATGTGTTCTCAGAGGTGGCGCTAGCTAGAGGAAAGGATAGCCCGGCTCCGAGGTTTCATCTCAGCTTGCTGACAGTGTTTTCCACAACTTGAGTGTTGGGTAGAATTCCAGAGTTTGGGACCTGTTGGCAGCTTTTTTAATCAGTTCAATAGCAACAAAGGCAAACTGTGTGGGGTTTCTCAGCATCTGCTGGCAATTATTTTGTCCTGTTTGAGGCAGACACATCAGAATCATGCGGGGGGTGGGGGGGAGTAAGACAGGACATAGATGAATGTAGAAATGTCTAAAAGTGAGTTATTAAATTATAAAAATACAATGGTCCATTTTTTTCAAGTCTCTGGGAATGCCACCTGTGAGCGATTTCAACATTTTCTCCCACTGAGTAACTAAACTAATCACACACACACACACACACACACACACAGGTCTCAAAGCCTTGAACATACTCGTGAAAATCTCTCTTGGCTTAAAGCGGTCAAAAGAAACTTGTGCAAAGTATATTTTTAAAAATTATATAACCTGCTGTTGTATTAAACACAAGATAAACAGAACAGTGAGTGTCTGAAGATGGCTATTCCCTAAGGATTTCCCTCGTGAGTCACATAATGGCTCTAATTTTTAGCTGATGTCCCTTCTCTGTCTGTTTCCTTGAGAAGATGAATTGTTATGAAAATTCTTTAATGTACTATTTCTCCTCTCTGTGTGATTCCTTTTGTTTCTAGTTAATGGAACCCCTGGCAGTCAGCTCTCCACTCCACGCTCGGGCAAGTCACCAAGTCCGTCACCCACCAGCCCAGGAAGCCTGCGGAAGCAGAGGGTAAGGACGCAAGCAAGCCATCTATTTAAAATCTGTCTAGGTTTTGTTGCAAAGTGGCATAGGTGTCAGCAAAAAGTGCTGCTTTTCTAGGTGAATGACCAAGCCAGGGTAAGGGTAACTTGCTGTGGGTCACTCTCCATCGCTATGGTTCAGCTAGATCCCAGGTCTTACCATTTCCACAAATTTGCCCAGTCTTAATTCTGAATACAATATGCAACTGCTGCTTCAGTTTTAAATACCCTCTTGTCTGTTCATAATACATGTACTTTATTATGTATGCAAGTGTCCTTAGTCATAATTGATTTTATTAGATACAGCCACGAATAGTCTCTTAAGGAAAAAGAAAAGTCAATGGCGGTAGCATCCTGGTGGAAATTGCTTGGTGGTAAGCAGGGTGGTCTAGAGCAGCTGGAGAGTCCATGCGGCAGACCATGGGAATGTAGGATACCAGTTTTGTCAATGGACCCACACTGAGCCACATTCTCTTAAATTTATTTTGAGCCTCTTGTATAATAGCAGAGAAATTCACTGAGCTTGGAGACAGATGTGTAAAAGTTACTGGAAATAGTGTCAGCTTCTCCAAAGCTAAGCAAGAGGGTGACTGTTAGATCTGAAATGAAAGAACTTCTTAAATCTCCTCACTCCCTACACTGCTCATCGACTCCAGTTATACCAAGGCCAGAAGAGGAGAACTGGAGATGGGAAAAAGGAAAAGACATGCTGGAAAACATAGATGCCCCTTCAGGGTCCTGATTTCAGAGTAGAGAGGATTATGTTTACTTAAGTGACTTATATGATGGTGCCTACTGAATAATTTAATAGACAGGGACTCCTCAGAGGCTACTGCATTTAAATATCAGCATGTCTAAGTTTAATTTCTTTTATTATGCATTTAAATGACACTTCTAAAAATTGATGAATTTAAGTTTATCAAATATGAAGTCTCTCTTGGTCAAACTTCCTCTTTCAAAATGGATCTTCAGGCTGCTAAAACCATCAATCATTTTTAAATGGGGGCCAACATGAAATCAGTCAGTCTGCAATCACTTTGAACCTCTTGCCCCAAATATCTTTCTCTACCAATTCGTCTAGCAAGAGTTGAGCTTCTTTAGTCTGTTAAAACCTGTGATTTTGTATATGCTTTTCTATTCAATGGTGGGATCATTTTTAGTAGAGAAGTCTGTCATCGGTCTTCAGTGGTTTTAGGAATCATTAATAAACTACAGAATTGGCCACATTTATCTTAAAAGATTATCCAAGGTGAGGGAAGAGCTGATGTGGTCATCCTGTACTCAGAAATACTAGCCAGCAGGGTTCCCCTCTGTGCAACAGCCAGAGACCTAGCACAGAGAATGTCTCCAGAACATCCTTTCTCTTGAAGTGTACCTGTGCTTCAGAGCTAGCACAGGAACAAAAATATCTTTCAGTTCACTGAACTCAGTCTCAGACTTTATTGTAATATCCCAGGTTTAGTTTTGAGACTAAATTTAGAAGGACTGAGAATACATGCCAGGTTCTCTCCCTAGGAGTTTCTGGTGGGGACCCCTTCGTCTTTGGAGTATTCGATTTTTCTCAGTTGTTCTTTATAAGCAGAACAAGGCTAGAATTTGCATCCCTTTCTTTTCTGCTTCCACGGGATTTTTCAGTTCAATTGAGGCAGAAAAATTTCATCCAGATTTGTAGACATTGATTTACATAATTAACACTTTGCAGCCCTTCACAAATAACAGGTATTGACAGGTTTTTCTTCTTGCTGTTTAAGCCACCAGTATAGCACTGTTATTAAGGGAGCCAAAATTTTTCTCATTTACTTTTAGAGGGACAAAGAGTTTAATACCATCTGAAAACATTTATTAAACACATGTCATAAGCAGGATACTGAATGCGTTCAACGACGGTTTAGTTTCTAGGCTTCTGAGTTTGGCTATGTGTATTCAAAGATGGTTCTGTTCTCAAGTCTTTGAATTTTTGAACACCCTCCATCTCTGTACCATGGAGGCATTTCCAGCTCTACTGAGAGAAGCTTTCATCCTTTTGGGTAGACAACTGCACCAAATAACCCCTCCCTGTTAAAACAAGACCAGAATATCCCTAAAAATTGTTCCTGTTTCAAATTTAGTTAATATTCTTTTCAAACAGTTGGCTATACTTCTATGCAAGATGGCATGTGCTAAAAGAAGACACTTCAAAGAATGAATTAATTCCTTTTATTGCAAATTAGAAAACAGTAGCCACTTCTATTTTTTCTTTCTGTGTTGCCTAGTAACATACCCAGAAAATGAGTTGGCAAACACACACACACACACACACACACCTTAAAATACAGGAGGAGAAGCTAATTTTTAAAAGGAGTATTAAGGTATATAGCTGATTTCTTTACAAACAAAAAAATCTGTATTTTACTTATGTTAGCTACGATTTAGTAAGCTGTTTTTCTTCCCTTAAGATCAAGTTTCTAAATTACTTCCTTTGACATTTTAGAATAGTCATATGAGAGACTAGTCTGCATGTCAGATTCATTTCTCCATTAAATACACTGGAGACAGTGAACCAAGTAGCTTCCCTATTTATACAAAGGACAATTACTTAAGTGGCTTCTAGAAGCATCTTCCTGGCCTCAGAAATTAACTTTTTAGGCCCTCTTCCTATCCATAAACGCTTTCTTTTTGGGGGGGTCCCTTTTCTTAAAACATCAAGAGAAAAAAATGTGTTGTATTGAGTAGGTTGAATAAAGCCCCCCATTACACTCCCACGCCACTGACTTTTGTAGCTTAACTGAGCCCTCAGATGACGTAGGAGTGGGCAGCACAAAACTGAAAATAAGCTAACTGTAGACACTGGGTGGAACTGAGCAGGTTGCTTGGCTACTAACACTGAGATATAATAGCAGACAAGGTGGCAGGAAGAAGGGAAGAAACGGGTAATGGGTTGGGAACTAGACGGAGATTTGGAGTAGGATGTGGGCGTGTGTAACTGAGAATTCTTCCAGTCACCCAAGCATAAAACTGTGAAAGAGCGGTGTGTGCTGGGTTTCCACTGTGTGCAGCTGCACGCTGGAGTTACTGTCCCGCATACCTTAATGCCAGCTGCTGCATCCGGCAAATTATTTTTGTGAGGTAACCACATTCTTCTCCCCAGAATGGGAAGAAAATGTCTATGGAAGAATTTCCTAGACACGGAATAGCAGAGGTGGTCTTGGCAGGCAACAGGGGCCATAACTCAACTGGACACGAAGGAAGGCAAGAGCCCATGATAGCTCAAGAAGCACTTTCTTGCCGATAAAACGAAATCATCGCTTTGCCAGTGTTATCTTTTCTCTTACGCAAAGTTGGTGACTTGAGTAGTTGTAATGACGTTAGGAGCCAAAGTCCCATCCCTTCCCAAGTTGCTCCCCAGAGAGGAGCAGGGAACCCAAGAAAGGAAAGTAAACGAATCTGTCCTGCCCTTCATCTTACAGGACCTGTACCGCCCCCTCTCGTCGGATGATTTGGACTCTGTAGGAGACTCAGTGTAAAAGACACAATGGAGCGATGTGTATGGTTTGTGATGGGATCAAGGTTTCCCATTTCCTAAGCAAGCATCTAACAGCAAAATACACAAAGGAGTTTTGCATAAGTAACTAAGTTGTACAAAAGCAAGTGTGCAGACATTTTCTACTTGTGGTATTATTCTTTGAAAGAAAAAAAAATTTTTTAAAGTGTCTCCTCCATTTGGTGTAACTGAGGAGAATTTGAATACAATATTTGCTAGTCACTGAGGATTTTATGACTAAGGTCTGGTTCCAGACAAATTTCATATATGATTCCAATATTAGATACAAGAACCACCCTAACGATCCAGCATTAGAGTCCCCATTTTTATAAATGAGTCTTCTTTTTAATCAGTAAGTAGATATATAAATACAATTTTTCTGTACCTAGTATAAGAAAAATTTAATAAAGTAACAGACACAGTTTTTTCTAAAAGGTAAAAATCTTTTACCCTTTTAGTTTAAAATTTATGTATATATTATCAGAGAGCTGATTAGTTATTTCATTGCAAAACATTACAAAAACTCTCCAGGATTATTATTATTTTTTTGAGTGAATATGTCTTAAAGAGAGTCAAGGAACTCCTGTAGGAGACATCTCACAAAGACTAATATTAAGCAGTAAGAACATTCTTTGTTGTTTTTGTTTTGTTTTGTTTTGTTTTGTTTTGTTTTGTTTTGGGGTTTTTGGTTTTGTTTTGTTTTTTGGGTTTTTTTTGTGGTAGTGGTTGTTGTTATTATTGTCACATGGATTTCCTTTTTCCAGATTATGTTTTATAAAAATAGTTTCAGTAACATGGAAACATGAATAACTTGGCATTATGATTAACTATATAATGTTTCCCTACAACAGCAATACTATAAACATATTTTTCCCAAGTGTGCAAAGTTTTTGACCTAAAAAAAAATGGGACTTATACTGTTTTTCAAAAAATAAACTCAGTTTGAGAATTGGAATTCTTCTAAACAGAGCTTGTACACTGGGCCTCCAGATAGCCAAAGCTCCATTCTGATCATCCTGCATCTTGTTTGGGAAATCTTCATATGCAAAACTCCTTTTGTGTCAAACCAAGTGTGTCTATGATTATAACCCACTGTTAAAACATTAACCTACTAATTCTTCTCCTCTAGTCTTCTATTTTCAAAAGTGTAAGTCAGCTTTGCTTAAATGTAAAACAGTTATTTTTAAATCTAGATGTTAGAAATCAATGTGTATGGTGTATTGTATCTAGACCATACCCGTGACCGTTTCCTTTTGCTAGCTCAAACACTAACCATTTAAGACTTACAAAGCATGGATTTTATATTCTCCAGGCTTGACATATCTCAGTAGGGTGACAGATTTAAAATGTATGGTGCCATTTGGAGCCTTTTACTTGAGATTTCTTTCAAATTTCTCTTGAAAACATTTTGAAAATGCCTGATTCAAGATGGAGAGGAGTCTCCTTGTCATATGGTTTCAAATGTTATT